GGACAATTTCCTGGTGCAAGTGCTGGAGGAACCAAATAGGGGCAGAGCTCTTCTTGACCTGCTGCTCACAAACCGGGAAGAATTAGTAGGGGAAGCTAAAGTGGATGGGAACCTGGGAGGCAGTGACCATGAGATGGTCGAGTTCAGGATCCTGACACAAGGAAGAAAGGGAAGCAGCAGAATACGAACCCTGGACTTCAGAAAAGCAGACTTTGACTCCCTCAGGGAACTGATGGGCAGGATCCCCTGGGAGAATAACATGAGGGGGAAGGAGTCCAGGAGAGCTGGCTGTATTTTAAAGCATCTTTATTGAGGTTACAGGGACAAACCATCCCGATGTGTAGAAAGAATAGTAAATATGGCAGGCGACCAGCTTAGCTTAACAGTGAAATCCTTGCTGATCTTGAACACAAAAAAGAAGCTTACAAGAAGTGGAAGATTGGACAAATGACCAGGGAAGAGTATAAAAATATTGCTCGGGGATGCAGGAGTGAAATCAGGAAGGCCAAATCACACCTGGAGTTGCAGCTAGCAAGAGATGTTAAGAGTAACAAGAAGGGTTTATTCAGGTATGTTAGCAACAAGAAGAAAGTCAAGGAAAGTGTGGGCCCCTTATTGAATGAGGGAGGCAACCTAGTGACAGAGGATGTGGAAAAAGCTAATGTACTCTATGCTTTTTTTGCCTCTGTCTTCACGAATAAGGTCAGCTCCTGGACTACTGCACTGGGCAGCACAGCATAGGGAGGAGGTGACCAGCCCTCTGTGGAGAAAGAAGTGGTTCGGGACTATTTAGAAAATCTGGACGAGCACAAGTCCATGGGGCCGGATGCGCTGCATCCGAGAGTGCTAAAGGAATTGGCGGATGTGATTGCAGAGCCATTGGCCATTATCTTTGAAAACTCATGGCAATCCGGGAAGTCCCGGACGACTGGAAAAAGGCTAATGTAGTGCCCATCTTTAAAAAAGGGAAGAAGGAGGATCTTGGGAACTACAGGCCAGTCAGCCTCACCTCAGTTCCTGGAAAAATCATGGAGCAGGTCCTCAAGGAATCAATTCTGAAGCACTTAGAGGAGAGGAAAGTGATCAGGAACAGTCAGCATGGATTCACCAAGGGCAAGTCATGCCTGACTAATCTAATTGCCTTCTGTGACGAGGTAACTGGCTCTGTGGATGAGGGGAAAGCGGTGGACATGTTGTTCCTTGACTTTAGCAAAGCTTTTGACACGGTCTCCCACAGTATTCTTGCCAACAAGTTAAAGAAGTATGGGCTGGCTGAATGGACTATAAGGTGGATAGAAAGTTGGCTAGATTGTTGGGCTCAACGGGTAGTGATCAATGGCTCCATGTCTAGTTGGCAGCTGGTATCAAGTGGAGTGCCCCAAGGGTCGGTCCTCAGCCCGGTTTTGTTCAATATCTTCATAAATGATCTGGAGGATGGTGTGCATTGCACCCTCAGCAAGTTTGCAGATGACACTAAACTGGGAGGAGAGGTAGATATGCTGGAGGGTAGGGATAGGATACAGAGGGACCTAGACAAATTAGAGGATTGGGCCAAAAGAAATCTGATGAGGTTCAACAAGGACAAGTGCAGAGTCCTGCACTTCGGACGAAAGAACCCCATGCACCGCTACAGACTAGGGACCAAATGGCTCGGCAGCAGTTCTGCAGAAAAGGACCTAGGGGTTACAGTGGACGAGAAGGTGGATATGAGTCAACAGTGTGCCCTTGTTGCCAAGAAGGCCAATGGCATTTTGGGATGTATACGTAGGGGCGTTGCCAGCAGATCGAGGGACGTGATCGTTCCCCTTTATTCGACATTGGTGAGGCCTCATCTGGAGTACTGTGTCCAGTTTTGGGCCCCACAGTACAAGAAGGATGTGGAAAAATTGGAAAACGTCAAGTGGAGGGCAACAAAAATGATTAGTGGACTGGAACATATGACTTATGAGGAGAGGCTGAGGGAACTGGGATTGTTTAGTGTGCGGAAGAGAAGAAGGAGGGGGGGTTTGATAGCTGCTTTTAACTACCTGAAAGGGGATTCCAAAGAGGATGGATCTAGACTGTTCTCAGTGGTAGCTGATGACAGAACAAGGAGTAATGGTTTCAAGTTGCAGTGGGGGAGGTTTAGGTTGGATATTAGGAAAAACTTTTTCACTAGGAGGGTGGTGAAACACTGGAATGCGTTCCCTAGGGAGGTGGTGGAATCTCCTTCCTTAGACATTTTTAAGGTCAGGCTTGATAAAGCCCTGGTTGGGATGATTTAGTTGGGGATTGGTCCTGCTTTGAGCAGGGGGTTGGACTAGATGACCTCCTGAGGTCCCTTCCAACCCTGATATTGTATGATTCTGTGATTCTAAGCCCTGCACTGACTGTAATAGGCCTTTGCCTGTTAGTGACCTGCATGGCAGCTGTCTGAAGTGCCGGTGGGAATCCCAGGTTAAAGAAAAGTGTCGCATCTGTAAGAACTTTTGTCCCAGGACACAAAAAGAGCACGGCAATCATTTGAGGGCCCTCCTCCTGGAGGCCGCTCTTCACTCAGCCTCGGAGCCAGCCTGGCTGCATGCAGTGCCCAGCATTTTGGCCTCGGTGCATAGAGCACCCCCGGCACTGGACTCTACACGGCACTCATCCCCTTTGTTGGTGCCCAAGAAGATGTCTAAGAAGCGGGACCCAGTACCAAGCAAGACAGTGGCATTGGGTAAAGGACCCTGTTCGGGACGTCTGCCCACGCTGGAGCCACAAGGGGGCACATCCCCGAGGGGACCTCCTACCCCCCCAAGGGATCTGACTCCAGGGAGCAGTAGGGGACGTAGCCTGATGGCAGAGTCAATGCCTTCCCAGCTCCCGGTGCCCAGAGAGTAAAGGACTCTCCCACCATAGCCAGCACCGCATGCGGTGAGGGAGCCGGCAGAGGCTCCCTATGAGGGCAAGCCAGCCATGAAAGCCTGCCAGAAAGCAAGTGAGTACCACTGATCTCCGGAGCTGGGCAGAGCCCTTTTTCGCCATGCTCCTGGTTTCCATATCTGCCCAGGTCACCAGTTTGCTGCCACAGATCACCGGCACCATGCTCCCAGTCTACGCCTTCACGTCGAGACTCGCCCAGGGGGAAGTGCCAGTCGCCGTATAGTTGGCACTGGTCATCTTCGCGCTGACCCTCTCCACACCGATGATCACAGTCCCCAACATGGTGCCGCTCCCACTACTCCCTGCACCGGTGTGAATACTCAAGGCACTGGTCACCCATGGCGATGGTTAGCTGCCAGACTCAGGCCCTGGTCACTGGAGGAGGATTCCTTGAGCGCGGAGAGGGAGTTCAACCCCTCGCTGAGACAGCACCATTGCGACTGGGCTCCTGAGGTTGCATCACCTCAGCTCTGCTGCTCTGTTCACTGGCCCTGCTGCCAGGACAATGGCCCTATTGGGATGCCTGGGGTGTGCCAGTTATGCCGATGCCCCCGTCTCACCAATCGTCAGTCACCACATCGGGCAAGCTCCAAATGGCACCAGGCTTAGTGCATGAAGCGCTAGTATACGCTGAGGTGGAGAGACAGGTGCCCACCCTGAGAGCCCCCCGCTTCCCCTGAGGGGGATGATGCCCCAGGCTCCCCGCTCCCCAGCGGTTCAGTCGTCGTCCTCCTCTCCAGATGAGGCTGTGGTGGGATCCTCCTGTGCTAACCCACCGGATGACTTTAAGGAACACCAAGCCCTGCTCCGAAGGGTGGCCACTATCTTAGGCCTAGAGGCAGAAGAGATGGCGGAGCAATCAGACACTAACTCTAGTTTCCAATACCTCGGACCTGGGCTGGGGAGCTCAGTATACAAGGCTGCTGGTCAGAGGTCAACCAGTCCATCCTAGAGTACCCTTATGCATCTCAAGCTCCAAGACTTGTCCCTTTCATCAGTTAAGGTCTCTGACAACTGTGCACATGGGCATGCACACACCTAGAATGGAATGGACATGAGGAACACATCTCAAAGAACAAAGTTATGAAAGGTAGGTAACTTTTTTTATTGCTACTTGGGGCCCAAATCTGCAAGTTGCTTCACATGGATAGACCTTCGTTGTCACAAGGAGCGTCACTGAAGTCAGTAGTGGTCTGCATAGATAAAGGATCCCACAAGAGCTGGATCAAAACTGTTCCTTTTTAAAAAATTAAAAACATTCAAAACTATAAGAAAAAGTTTCCATTTCAGAGTTTTCACACCCCTGTGTGAGAGGCAGCTGGAGTGCACGCTCATCCAGGCAAGGAGTCCAGAGAACATGACAACATGTCATAATCAGTCCCCAGTCAAAAGTTACACAGCAGCAAACCAAAAATAAAAATATTTTTTAAAAAATGCACAGAACATTTCAAAAGATTCTAAGAAAAGTTTTCATATAACTGAAAAAAGTGATTGGAACCTAAAAGTTTTCATGAAAATTTTGGTTTTCAAATATATGCTGTCTTTTGCCAGAAAAAAAATCATTTGAAAAATTTTGATCAGCTCACGGTTCCACACTCACAGCATTTGCAGGATTTGGACCTTGGTTTGCTCCAGTTCCTAAAATGATTGTAGTAAAGTCTTGGGTCACTCTCCCCCTCCCCCTCTCTCCTTCCCCCATGTGCACGCACACCTTCTTCATTCTGTCCTATATAGACACAGGAGAAAAATTTGTATTGAGGTCTGGCAAACTGGTTTATATCAGCAGATTAACATGTAACATGATAGGATGGAAACAGCTGTTTCCATCCTGGCTTTCACACAATCCTACACTTTCTCTTATGATTATGGTACAGAACCATATGTTCCGATATTGGATATTAGCAGCCAGATATGAGTAAAATACAGAGCTTTATTTTTCTTTCACGGAGGTTGCAGAAGGAGGAAAACTATCTATAGCTTTAATACAAAGAGAAAAGCTCTGTGCTTCCAGAAAGGACAGATAATCAAATGTGGGTGTAGCACCATTGAATCATCTTGAAGACTAAGGATCAAGTGGTGTTTTTTGTTTTACATAGTTTTATGAACAGACGTGTTATATCTACTAATCCATATCGGGGAAGCACTACCAATGGCTACGCATGTCCCAGTGGAATGGCACTTCATTATGATGATGTTCCCTGCATAAATGGATCGGTAAGAATTTAATTTTTACAGCGCAAATGGCTTATATGTGTTGAACACAGGGACACCTGAAAACTGTATTACCTCATTGAGTGCCATTGGGCAGATTCCAGATGAACTCAAGTTTTCTACTCTTCATATTCAGGAACCGCAAAACCTCTCTCCCGTTTGGAGACTTTTGGGGGAGTGGGACATATTGTTTAAATTAAATTGTTCATGAGCAGGCATATATTTACACAAACAGCTGCCTGTTGATCAGTTTGTGCCAAATCCATTAATAAAATCCTTGAATTTTTTAAAAGAAACATTCATTAGACCAAGGCAAAATTCAGGGCTTGATTGTGCCAGGCCCTGTGCTGTGTGTTGTAAGTTGTGAAGAAAGGGCAACAAGCCATCAGACCTCACTCTGTGCTCCCTTGCAGGAATATGGCACTATCCAGGGAACAGCTGACAGTAGGGCTATCCATCTCCAAGGCGAGGCTTCCACTGACAGTTGTGCTATTCATCCCAAGGAGAGCAGGCTGAGGGCAAGGCCGTGGTCCCACCTCACCCTCTGAATTGGCCTGCAGAGCTGGTCCTGTGTAGGAGAGAGGGGGAAAGTGCATATTTGCACACAGTGGCATATGCTCTCTAGACCCTTGTTTGGGGGTGCTGCAGCTTAGCATAGTTCCTTATTTGGGCTCTATCTTAAATGCAGATTTGAGACCTGAGTCTGAACTGAGAGAAATGTACAGAAATTCAAGACATAAGATGTCACAAACAAGACATAAGATGTCACAAGATGACATGTCAGAGGAGTAGTAGGGAAAAATCTCTAAGGAGTAGGACACACCGAAGCGTTTGGTTAGTGGGATGCATATGTGCTTGGGACTGTATCTGAAGAGGGCACTCATGCAGACAGGGTGGATTAAGGAAGGATCTTGGGCATTCAGACCCACAGCTTCTTTTAAGATTAAATGAGTGAATCACTCGGTGAATGTTATTGAGTTTTCCATTCTTATGGAAAGAGGAAATGGCCTGGAGCTATTGGGGATATGTATTTAGCTAAGTAATACTTTTCCAACAAAAAAAATACAAGCAGCTAGGGCACAAGCAGCCGATAGTTCCTGAAAAGACACATGGCCTCAAGAAAAACCTTACAGCTTCTGATAGTTGCCAGGTCTGAAAATCTGTATTACCAAGCCAGGTTTAGCAAAATATGTCCTAGAGATTTTCCTGAAGACTCATCTACGTTGCCCATGAGTACCCCACTATTGTCCTATCTTATACAAGGAAGTAATTATCAACATCTGCACTGTAGTGCTTTCTTTCTCAGAATTACTAACTGGAAAGTAATAATAATAATCAAATAATAGTATAAGGGGTAACATCACAGTCCCCTTTTCTCTGCTTAACAGAAAACACAAGAAAATTCAGGTTATGAAATAGCCTCCCTTTTCCCCAGTCATCCGAACACACCATAGCAACCCATGTCTTTCTAGACCAGTTTGGCTCAAATGTCAGGAAAAATCAAAATCTTGCTAAACTCAGAGGGTGTTAATGATTCTAAATAACCTGCTTATGTTTTAATTTTGGATAGGTTCTGCATGATGTTTTGTTTACTAACAGCAAAAGTATGTGTATTGCAGTGGGAATTGGAAGATGGCTTTCCTACTTCTCGTAGCAGAAATATGGGAGAAGAAGTGCTTTATGATAACGCAGGCCTGTACGATAACTTGCCGTCTCCGAAAATCTTTGCACGCTATCCACCTGCTGAGAGAAAAGCCAATAGGTTATCTACTGACAAACTCTCCTCTAACCATTACAAAAACCCTGTCTCATGCAATCTGTCCTCTGCTCAGTCTGTCACTAACACCTCTGCTGTGGGGCGGGGATCTGGCTCTCAGGTACTACAATGTTTAATACTGTAACAAAGCCTTTTAGCACAATTCTGTTTGTATCTGGGGCTATTTTCACTGGCCTGGTTTTAACACTAGAATGCTTGCAACTTAAATGGGCCCACTACAAGTAAGAGTTTCACCTAAATAGTAAATTCTGAAGTAGAGGTGCTGTCTTCCTGTTTGTCCATAAAATGTCTGCTTAGCTTGTTCTTGGTGCTGTAGCTGGATCAATAGGCATAACTTTCCAAAATTTAGCCGTATAACGGCAGGCCTTCTTCTGGCTTTAAGTTGGCTTCAGCATATTTCCTACTGGGGGTTTCAGCACAGCTTGCCACTGTAACAAAAAATATTACATATAAATATTTAAGGGGCTATAACGTGCAATAGTTGTATGTGAAAATTTCTGTGCACCATCCTTTGAAGCGTTGGCCCCTTAAATGATTTGTTTTTATTAGATAAAATACTTGGCATTTTAGTTTTAACTGTGGTACTAGTTTACTGAAACATACAATGTAACTATATTTAACTAACTGCCCTGTTGCTTTCTTCCCTGGAGAAATCGAAGATTCCCTGCTTGCAGTCATAAGCTATATTACAATATCTGAAGCCATTGTGAAGAACAATGGCATGCAATTCTCAATCCGGTTATTAGCCTAATTTAAAGAGAATAGTAAAATGAATGTAGTCTTTTACTTGTTTGATGCATCTGAAATAATATGTATTACTTACCTGACCATTAGTATGGTCTAATTATGCATACGAAGCTATGAATCTAATGTTAGAACCAGAGATGGGCCTGAGCAGCAAAGTTCAGGGTTATTGGTTTAGGCCCATCTTTTCCTGGACTAAAATAGAGTGCAGTAGTAGGTTACTCTCTGCACCACCAGTTCAGACTTTTTTATTGGTATATTTCAAAAGCATCTAGAAACAAATAAACAGAATATGTACTGTAAGGAACATACGTGTGGATACAGGTCTGTGAACAAATGGACCTTTGTACAAGAATCACATGAGGTGACTTTTAGATTTACAAGACTTAATAGAGAACCTTTATTCATTGTATTGCAAAGGGGAAAGTGTTTGAAATAACATAAGCATCACTGTATGCTTCAACCAAAACCATTTTTTTCTCTTTTTAATTTTAAAAAATTATTCTTGACTTTTAGATCCAAGCCTCCTACATTGATGCTGTTTGTATGTGCAGGGAGTCCAATCCTCTACCTTTTATAGAGCAGCTGAATCCTTCATTTAATAAGTAGTAAAAAAATTCACCCCTTTGTAGAGGGTCAGTACAAAAGCTATGCACCATTTAGGTCACACTTAAGCCTTCAAAATAGGGCTCAAAAGATAGTTTAAGTGGCACTTGTCTAGATCTTTTGTCAGCCTTTTGTATAAGGGTGAATTTTACTCTTAGGTTCACAAATCACTATTCAGTCATTTTAGGAATACTGGGGCCTAGTCTACAATAGAAAGGGTTTACCAGTACAGCTATAATGGCAAACACTCCTACTGTAGACTCAGCTTATGCTGGCAAAAGTGTGGTGTTGCAAAATAAGCTACACTGGAAAAAGGACTTTTTTGCCTTTATAATATAATTTTATAATTTTTTGCCTTTTGCTTTTACTGATGTAGAAAGATTACAAATGAAAGCATGTTCCTAACCGACATTGCCATGCCATCAAAAATGTCTAGTGTAGACCTCATCTAGCTGACCAGTTAAAAGAAAATTATAGAGATAATGTTTTTAGTACCATGACCCTGTTTTAGCCAGTCAGTTTGCATGTCTAGTGAAGAAGCTGCTATTTTGATTAAGTGTCTTGTAATAAATTATTCTGCAATACTGCTCTGAAGAATTAGATAATGTTTCAAGAGCTGGATAAAATGATGGAAGCAGTATAATTTTTTTAAATGGAAAAAACAAGTGAGAAAGAAAAGGATAATTCTGACCCCTGTATTCAGTCATGCACACCTGCAACAGGAAACCCACATGCGATCCTGGCAGCTAGCCAGTATTGCAGACTGCTCTTCAGTAATTAAGTGCCAGATTCTGCCACCCTTACTCCCCTCTAGTATAGTATATTATGCTGGGGTTGGCCTTGTTGAATTCAGTGGGGCTTCTTGGTTGGTTAAGGAGCTACTCAGCCTGAGTGAGGGTGACAGAAAAGAACTATAAATAACTTGCCTGTTGGATTCTATTTGCAACCTGTTGCTCAGGTTGCAACAAAGGAGTAGCAATAAATATGAAATTACGATCTTGACCACATAAGGAAATATTCCATAGTATGGCATGAAGAAAATGTTCTGTGAATAGACAGGGACTATGTCTTTGCATACCATTCAGAGAAATTATCTGGCACAGCTCACAACTGTACTGTTTCTATATCCTACTATAAATGTCCTGTAGTTGCTGTTAAAAGCCCACATTTATCAACAGTTACAAAGTGTGAACGGGGCTCTGATTATGTTCCTTTGTACCCAGGGTGCACAAGTTAATTTCATCCCTATCACTACATCTTGCAGGGGGTTCAGTTTCAATCTTTTCTTTCGGATAGGATCAGTGCCACAGTTATCCATAGCTTTGTCATCGCCCGGATAGAATGCAGCAATGTATTCTACTTTGGGCTCCCCTTCAGCACTACATAGAAGGTTCAGTTAATCCAGAATATAGCAACCCCCATTGAAACTGGGCAGGCCACTGCGACCTCCTAATACTGTGCTCTGTGCTCTGCATTGGCTCCAGTTCCTCTTTTGGGTACAGTCCAAGATGCTGATTATCATCTCAAAAGCCCTAACTGCCCTATGACCTAGCTATCCTATTGCACTTTGCAGAACTTGTCATTGGCCAGAATGCTCTTGTTGTCTGTCCATATGGTTTCATTCCTAGAGACTGGCAGCAGAGTGTTCTCCGGGGCTCTGAAATGTTCTTATATTGTCTAGTAGTTTGCTAGAGCTTGTGTCTAGCCACTGTAAGGATGTGATACGAAAACCACCCTAATTTTGCTTTTTTCAGTGAGTTTGCTTTGTTGGAGGTACCCTAGGAGAGAATCAGTTGATTAACTCCTTATGGATAAAGTTGTGTGGTTTTAATTATTTAATTTGGAAATGGCATCCATGTACTATAGCAATGCAATTCTGAGGAAATGCACCTAATAAGGACCTGTAATACATAAGCAACAGTTTAAAATTGTACCTCACTGTGAGTGGGCAAGGCTGATGGTTCTACAGCTTCTTGTGATGGGTATGAAAGTAATGTGCATCCCTACTATGTTTTTTAAAGGACTTTGCAATAGAAAATTGTTACAAAGTACCACTTAGCTGCATTAGAGCATCATTCTTCAAATGTGCCAGTTTTGATTAAAAAAAATTGAACAAATTAGCAACAGTGATGCTGTCACAGATGGAACAGGAAGAGAGAGAGAGAATCTCACAATTCCCAGTGATTGCCAGCCTCTGATCTTACTGAATAAGCAATTCTCAATGATACAGTCTCTAGAGAATGCACTGTTTCCAACAGAATCAATTAAGCATATGAACAGCCTGCTAGAAGGCAGACTGTTTTAAACAATTCTTTCAAGCTTTGCTCGTGGTGAAAGTGTTACTATGGCACCAGCTGTACAATAATAGTTACCATTGCATAAATATTTTGTTTTCAAACAGTTTAAGGGCAAAAAAAGCCCTGCAACTGCAAATGGGATCATGGGAAAAGGGAGAATTTTAAACAACCAACAGAAGAAATCTGAATCAGCATCAAGTGTGAAACGCACAGCATCGAGTAAGTGCATCTCTTAATGATCTTGCTTTGTAACTTTGGGCATCTGGAAACATGACTTGTCTTTCCCGCTAGCAAGCAAGGTAAAGACCAGACTGGTGGTGCTAGCAGGTAGATTCTTTTAATAACCATCACTATGGAAAGACAGACTGAAGACTTGATTCTGAACTGCCTTACATCAGAGTAACTATATTGAAGTCCATGTAAAACTGGTGTGAAATCAGAATCAGTCCCTGTATCTCTGGTTATCATTTTATTAACATATGGAATCATTAGGTAAACATCAGCTGTGTGCTTGGAGCAGTATAAATCCATAAGTGCATATGTTCTCTCCCTTGAGGATTTTATAATAATCTAAAACAGGAAACAACAAAAAATAACTGGTTCAAACACACAATTCATTGGCTGCTGGTATGAATTTTTGAGATTGTGGCAAAAATGTTGAAGCAATAGGCCTCTCCTTTCAAAACTTATCTTACTCGTGATTTCTTTAATAAAAGGTCCAGGAGGCAGCCTTGGGTGGGTTTGGGGATACTGGCTCCAGGTCCAGGGTGAGAAACAGTTCCTGGCTGTCGGGAAAACCGGTTTCTCCACTTGCTTGCTGTGAGCTATCTGCAACCTCATCATCATCATCTTCCTCGTCCCCAAAACCTCCTTCCATGTTGCCTCCATCTCTATTGAAGGAGTCAAACAACACAGCTGGGGTAGTGGTGGCTGAACCCCCTAAAATGGCATGCAGCTCATCATAGAAGCGGCATGTTTTGGGCTCTGACCCGGAGCAGCCATTCGCCTCTCTGGTTTTCTGGTAGGCTTGCCTCAGCTCCTTAAGTTCAACGCGGCACTGCTTCTGGTCCCAGTTGTGGCCTCTGTCCTTCATGCCCTGGGAGAGTTTGACAAATGTTTTGGCATTTTGAAAACTGGAACTTAGTTCTGATAGCATGGATTCCTCTCTCCATACAGCGATCAGATCCCGTACCTCCTGTTCGGTCCATGCTGGAGCTCTTTTGTGATTCTGGGACTCCATCATAGTCACCTCTGCTGATGTGCTCTGCATGGTCAACTCAGCTGATGAGCCCTGCATGGTCACCTGCAGCTTGCCACGCTGGCCAAACAGGAAATTGAAATTCAAAAGTTCGCGGGCCTTTTCCTGTCTACCTGGCCAGTGCATCTGAGTTGAGTGTGCTGTCCAGAGCGGTCACAATGGAGCACTCTGGGATAGCTCCTGGAGGCCAATACCATCTAATTGTGTCCACAGTACCCCAAATTCGATCCAGCAAGGCCGATTTCAGCGCTAATCCCCTTGTCGGGGGTGGAGTAAGGAAATCGATTGTAAGTCGAAAAAAAAGGGCTTCGTCGTGTGGACGGGTGCAGGGTTAAATTGATTTAACGCTGCTAAATTCGACCTCAACTCCTAGTGTAGACCAGGGCTCAGACTGTTGAATTTCAGGCTTGTTTTTCATTTAGTAACCTCAGTAAGTACTAGCACCTTCTTCTCTTACCTCAAGATTTTTACTTGGAAGGTTCTGTTATTACATTTCTCATGCCAGGGTCTTCTGGAAGAGTCTTCTGGAAAAGTTCTAGGGGCCCAACCTCGTTGCAGTACTACTATAATATAAATGTTTAATAATGATGATAATATAGATGAAACTAATGACATTTTATACAAATGTAATAGTGTCTTATGGAAATTAATCTATACTAGTATGGGATTTAATAATCTAAATATTTAATTCTAGATTTGGAAGGTTATAAAATGCTTTGACATTTGGTGGAGTCCAATAGGTTTGAAATCTAGGGAAAAAATCTTCTGCGGTTCAGCCCCCATTCTGCAGGAAATGGGGGTGTAAACATCTCTGACTTAAAGATGCCAGAGGAGTCTAGGCCAATAAGTTTCCTAGGCAGAGGAAAAGAGAGTGAGACATCTGCCATTTTGTCAGAGACTATCCTCACTGGGAGAGAAGAGGCACATGTCTGGGGACCTCAACCTTTTGCATGGGGTAGAAATGGAGGTGGAGCGAAGCTGGAAAACTGGGAGTTTTCTAGCTTCATTATTCAGTTAAGTCTCAGGTCAGAGATTCAGTCTGGGTATGCAGAGGAAAAGTTTTGCATGCTTCTGAACTTGTTTTGTCTGCACTCTCAGGCAGGAATTCTTAGAACAGGTGTCTTGCAAGGTGTCAGGTATTTTCCATTTCTTCCAGACAGTTCTTGAAAACAAGACTTTCTCACATTATTTCAGCATTTGTGCTTCAAATCTCAGCAGGGATCAAGGAGTGTGGGAAAAGCCAGTGAAAACAGAAAAGAAAAAACCTTAACCCAACTTTCTCAGACATTGCAAAAGGTTTCGGTGCGGTTGGATTTGATGGATAGATGAAGGGTTCTTTCACTGCTTATTTTATCCAAAAAGATCGGAGAAGGGCCCAGGTCACAAAGTTGAGAACAGAAAGTTTCAGGGGTATTTGTATTTTGTTTGTCCCATCTCAAATTCTGATTAGTGATGTTCCTAGATTCTAAGCCATTCAGAGAAGGAGTTAGCTGAATAAAATCTTCATTACTCTTTAATCTTTCTGTATAGATGCTGATCAGTACAAATATGGTAAGAACCGCGTTGAGGCAGATGCGAAGAGGTTACAAACCAAAGAGGAGGAGTTATTAAGGAGAAAAGAAGCTCTGAGGAACAGGTTGGCTCAGCTCCGAAAAGAAAGGAAAGACCTGCGAGCTGCCATCGAAGTCAATGCTGGTATGAGGTGTTTTATTGTGTTAGAGCCTGGCACTCCAAGAATTCTAGCTAACCAAATGGAATTCTTTCCTGGGGCCTGGAATGTATTTTTCAAAAATCCAAACTGCTTGCTACAGGTGTAACATGAGGTTCAGTTTTTGTGTTAAAATATGTAAAATTAGACTATAATTGCTATACAAATATATTTGTGCTATTAGCGCATTTAACTCAAAAAGACGCTATCACAATTATCAGCAACTCACAGAGAAGTAAGGAAGGTCACCATTTTTTAAAAATCACTGGCTACTTCCATTTTTGTGGTACAGAGACTAACTGAAAAATAACATGGCTAGAAAGTGAACAATTGCCCCAGATGAAGCACTGAGCATTGTCTGAAGTGCGAAACATTTTACTTGAATGAGGCTGAAACCTTACAGTGTGTGTAGCTGTTTGGGTAGCCAAGCATTTTAAAGCATTTGTTCCCTACTTGTAAATAAGTGAACCCCGTTTAGCACTGAGTCCATCAACTGTAGCCTGTTGTTGGCATAGCACCCATCTCTGGATTTCAGGCAGGAAGACTCAAGTTATTCTTGAAGATAAGTTAAGGAAGCTTGAAGAAGAATGTAAGCTGAAGGAGACAGAGCGTGTAAATCTGGAGTTGGAACTGACTGAAGTGAAAGAGAGCCTGAAGAAAGCCTTGGCTGGCGGCATCACACTGGGATTGGCAATCGAGCCCAAATCAGGAACCTCAAGCCCACAGGTATGTCCACAGCTGAATGATTTCAGAAAAGCTCCCAACTGTGTGGGACTTGATCCTGTGAGATGGGAGTACTGAGCATTTACTACGTCCAGGAAAGGGAATAGGAGCTGAGAGTGTTCAGCATCTTGCCGGATCAGGCATCTGATCTATAAAGGCCATGAAAATAAAGCAGCCAAGCTCTATTTTGAATTATTTCCATTGCTCTCCTGCACCTGGTGTCCTGTTCAACAATGAAATTGAGTTGATATGTATGGAATTATAGCGAACATGTGTTACCATTTGTATTGTGGAAGTGCCTAGAGGCCACAGCCACATTGCGCTAGGAGCTGTACAAACATATAATAAGATGCAGTCCCTTCCCCAAAGAGCTTAACCTCTCTAGACCTTTAATATCACAAGGGTCAATGTGGACAAAATTACTGTGTTGGTTCAATGGTCAGTTATTGTGTTGGTTCACTGTGGTGGCCCACCTAGTCGCTGTTGTTTAGTCATTTAGAGGGAACTGAAGCAGCCATCACAGAGTATATAACTATTTACTTTCTTTTGTTTTGCTTATTCAGGAAATCACGTTTGCTGTCCTAATCAGTGTAGTTCATGTTTGAAAGGATTGTCTGTCAATGTACTTTTCATAACTTTAAAACAATACTTGTAGTTTTCTGCAGTTCTAAATTTAAATAAATAATATTTACGTGAATATCTGGAGAAAAATTTACCCAATTGAAGATTTTTATTTTTATGAATATTTTGGAGGAAACGTTGCCCAGTCTCAGATTTTCATTCTGTCTGCTCTGTCTGTCAGTCTCCGATTTTCAAGCACCGAACTCTGGAAAACTCTCCTATCTCCAGTTGTGATACGAGTGATACTGAATGTTCAATACCAGTGAACAGTGCAGCAGTGCTGAAGAAACCTCCTTCATCAAGTACTTCACCGTGTCGAGGCCATGTCCTTCGAAAAGCAAAGGTGAGAAGATCTATTGTTTGACTTTCTTCTTCTGCCCCTGTCCCTCATGACATGTTTCTCATCTCTCCTTTATTCATGGTGAGGGAAAGATGGGTTCCTGCTGCTTGAATGTCTAAGGGTGAAATTTCACAGCAGTATAGAGGGCTGGCCCAAGGTCTGCATTCACATTAAGTGGTGCATGGTTTCATGCTGGTCCTCTGAACAGGGATTAATTTCACTCTGATGGAGTAAATTTGGGGAACCAGATGACAGAAGAACAGAAATACTGCATTAAGACGATAGATTTGACTCCGTATCTGTCTCTGTTCTTTTATGGAGTTCACTGTAAACGGCCTGTGATACAGACTGGTCCTTTAGTCCTTTCACCATTACGCTAATGGGTTTAGTCAATAAGTATTTAGTGTCGTTGTTAAACCCAATGCTTTAGTAATCAAAAGAATATCAGATCTAATCATTGCCAGCTGATGCAAGAGCTAAATAGTTCTAGGCTGTAGTAATTGAAAATACACTCTGCAAGCAACCACTCTTGCTGTACAATTAAAGTAGAAATCCATTGAATTTAATTTGTTCTGACTAGTGCCTGGATGAAACTTTGCATTCCTACCCCATTGATATAGTCTTTAATATACGTGCTACTTGTGCTTTATGTTAAATGGGATTTTCATGACAGTTCTCTGGGCCTGGCTGAACTGGCTAGTTAAGGTATGTTACTGAACAACTCATATAGCAAATAAAAAGGGATGTTACTGCTGGCATGGGTCTGAGATCTTTGTGTTGTTTTGGTCTGTTCATTGCTAACTATAGTTATAAACCAGAATCCTTCACATCTGTTCTTCATACTGCACTCCATTCTTTTGTCTAAAACAACCATACGTGTTGTATTTTAGGAAGCATTTTAACATTTCATTGAGGCTAAGATATATATTTTTTCATCCATTATAGATATTTGCAGTGTTTGAAAGCAGAATTTACAAACAAATGCATTTTAGCAAAGGATTAGTGAGGGAGCACCAGCTAGTAGTTATGACATGCAACTGAGAGTCCTCTCCTGCTCTGCCACAAACTTGTCATGTGACATAAGGCAAGTCACTAACCCTATCTGTGCCTCAGTTTCCCCATTTCAGAAAAGTAAAGTTCTTGGGATGAAAGAGACTATATATTGGCAATTTAATTATTCACTTACTAATGTATTTTACAACCTACAAGAGTTGCTCAAAATGCAGCAAAATCTGCTCTGTTAGTTGTGAATGGAAGATTTAAAGAACACTACTGGTTAGTCAGAGTCTCTTCTGGAAGAATCTTGGGTGTAGGATTAGACTATTTAAAAGAATACGAAGCTACTTTTCTATCAGTGGGAAATAATTCCACATACTGAATTCAGATTTAACAGCTGTTGTCACCTTTTCATAAAACCTCATACTCCAAATATTAACAGTGAAATTTAGCTGAATTAGATAATACGACCCAAACTGTACTGAGCTCATTCACAACTAGATACAGCCAAATTCCACCATCAGCTATGCATCTGCATCTCACATTAATTCCAATGGGAGCTGAATGCACAAATATGAGGGTGGAATTTGGCACTTAATGTTTTGGCCTTGTGTAGTTATGAGTAAGCCTAGGGAGCCATTTGGCCCTTAATGATTTGACTAATCAGTGGGAGTTGTTTGTGAGCATCCGGAGAGTGGAATTGGTTCAGCATATGTAACCTCCCTCATAGTGTGTGGGAGGTGAGGCCAATTTCATGTCTGTGCTAACACTAAAGTCCCTAGTAATGGATACATTTCACAATAGGTAGGATGTGTTTGCGTAAGCCCTGAAAATTTTGGATAAACTTATCTGATCCTCTTTATCTTTTTATTTCTACCCCTTGTCTGTCTCTTACTCTCTTTCCCCAGCTCTGTCCATTCTGTATCAGACCCCTGGTGCGCTGACTCTCTCTGCTGTGAGCCCTTTTATCTGTTACTTCCCTCATTTGAGCGTTATATGGCACTGCGTAACTTCAGGGCTGCACACACTCTGCTGGAGTAGCTGCTCTCCGCAAATCTCCCAGGCTTTGGGGCCTGTCTGGTTAGAGACTACTCTAGCACACATTGTGCACCTCTGAAAGGGGAAGCAGGAGGAATTAGAACAGAGCAGCCCGTCTAGCAGAGGGACTCTCAAACCTCCGGCTTCCTAATAGAAATATCTTTGACAATACAGGAGCCTGAGAGGGTGTTCCTGAGAGTAACGGAGTCGGGGAGAAGTTTATGCTTAACGAACCAACTCAAATCTAAAAGTTCAGACTCTGGGGCCTGTTCTGTTCATGCATCCCTAAGGGACACCAGCTATGGGTCACCACGGGTGCACTGCCATGACTGTAACATCAAAAAAGATCATGCAGTTGGAGTGATGCACCTATTTATCTTAACAAGATAAATTATTGCTATTAAGCAGCAGCAAGATAAAGATTATGGAATGAGCAACAAATTCAGGAATCCAGCATCAAGCCCAATTAGCATTAGAAAAACTTTCTAACATAAGGATAATTTAGTTAAGTATCAAGGGAGGTTGTGGAATCCCCATTGTTAAGGTTTTAAAGAACCTGTTAAACAAACATCTGTCAGGGATGGTCTTGGTTTACTTAGGCCTGCTTCAGCACAGGGGCCTGGATTAGATGACCTTTTGAGGTCCCTTCCAGCCCTACATTTCTATTATCCTATCTCTGCAATGGGAATGGGGGAAGAAGGACCTCACTCCCTTCTCCTCCCCCCCACCCCCAGTTCTGAATCAGATGTGTAATTGCTCCACAGATAATACTTCAGACCAAAGACTGTGGCTGCATGTTCTGCCCAATGTCCTGTGCCCTTGTGTGCAGTTGTTCCGGGAACCCTGCAGATCTGGGTCATGCACTTAACTTCAGTACCCAGAAAGATAACAGAGCAAATAATTAAACAATCAGTTTGCAAACACCTACAAGATGATATGGGATAAGTAACAGCATGGATTTATCAGTAACGAAGCGTGTTACGCCAGAAACCTAATAGCTTTCTTTGACAGGGTAACAAGCCTTGTGGATAGGGAGGAAGTGGTAGATATAATATATCTTGACTTTAATAAGACTTTTGATACTGTCTCAACATCTCAACATGACCTTCTCATAAACAAACTAGGGAAATACAACCTAAATGGAGCTACTATAAGGTGGGTGCATAACTGGTTGGAAAACCATTCCCAGAGTGTAATCATCAGTGGTTCACAGTCAAGCTGGAAGGGCATATTGAGAGGGGTCCCACAGGGATCAGTTCTGGGTCAGGTTCTGTTCAATATCTTTATCTGTGATTTAGATAATAGCATACAGAGTACACTTATGTATAGACACTTAGATTTCTATAATATTTCCCCGTCTTTTATTTTTCCCTTCTAGGAATGGGAGCTGAAAAATGGAACATAAGCATTAGAAATTTGTTTCCTTTGCTTAAAGGCCTTGCTTCATATGGACCAAGACATAGGCTGCGAAAGACGCATCTGTAAAATGGTGTCAAGTGACAAGGTTTTATAATTATGTTCAGTTAACAGTAGCTTGGCCCTCATTTGACTGTACTCTTTCTACTGTATTATTGTGTAACTGAGTGTGCCCCTTTTTATTATCTGTAACTCTTTATTTCCAACTTTATTTGTAAAAATCTTAGTAAAAAGGAGCATATAGTTGCAACTGAAAGTTTACATTGCTGAAAGAGGTTAAAACAACAATGTAAATGCCATTGCATCAAAAGTCCTGAATGGAAATCAAGACTGGTGCACGCTTTGAGACCCAGATAAAATCATATACATTTAGATATGTTTTACTATTAAGGCTAATTTTTACTTTCAGAATTCCACCACCTGAGAGAGGACTTTTCACAAGCTTGCTCGTTAGGATTCATTCAGCTGTTACCTGTTCACTTGGCAGGAGATCGAAGAAATGTTTCCACAGGAACGACATGACTTGTTTGAGCTAGGAAGTCAGGAACTCTTCCCCACCACTCTTTTCTCAATGGTTATGAGACGACCATGGAATGACAACTTGGCTGTGAAGCATTTTTTGATACATTTTAGACAGATGCTTTTGTCATCAGGGCATAAAAAGCTGCCATGCATTTTAATAAAAAGAAAAGGAGTACTTGTGGCACCTTAGAGACTAACAAATTGGTTAGTCTCTAAGGTGCCACAAATACTCCTTTTCTTTTTGCGAATACAGACTAACACGGCTGCTCCTCTGAAACATGCATTTTAATATGTTCTTTTTAGTGTTGCTGTTGTTCCTAAGCACCTGTCATCTTCAAACAGTTTCTCTCATATAGTCTAAAAATTATTTGGGCATGATTTAAAAAAGGCAACAAAGTCCTTTTTATATGTTGCTTCCTTTCTGCACCTCCCAAAAAAATCCCACTGACAGCCTCTAAAATTAATTTTTAAATAACAGCAACTTTAAAAGGCTCGTGCAGTTTTGTTTTGCTTGTTTTAACATTGTTAAAGTCAGGTTTTATAACTCTATTGTATTTGCTTTCTGCAGTCCTTTCAGATCTTGGATAATATTTTTGAGGAAATACGATTTTCCAATCTCCTTTATACATGATGATGAAATAAGAAGTGACAAGACCATTTGTGAGAGAGGACTCATTTTCTGTTTGCCAAGAAACAGGGTTTTCCTTTTAGTCTGTGAATAATTAGAAGTCTGTTTTCCTTTTGTTATCTATGTGTCTCTGCTGAAAAGTCAGATGCCTTATTTCCAACCCCAACTGTTCAAAATTCATGAGTCAAATTACTGAGAGCAGCTTAAAAATCATGAAACTTTTGTTTTTTAAAAAAGTTATTTCTATTTGTCTTCTGTTTTTCGAGCCTTTATAATGCACTCAGGTCACGTTTTCAAGATTATCTCTACAATCAGGAGGGCTTAAAACTAAAGTTGAAATTTTGACATAATCACTTGTCTGCAGGTGCTGGGGCTTTAAATAAAGCATCAAATATCACCAGTCTCTTGATAAAAACACAAGAGTTGGCAACATTGCAGATACAGACATCAAGGGAAGAACAGATCACTTGATGTCCCAGTCCTGCAGTTCTGTCATTAGTAAAATTTACTTAGCTTTATAAATGTACACTGGTATGTAAAACTCAGAGTAAGGTGCAAAAGGACATCCATGGGCGTTACACACACATGCAAACTGCAGGCTTACAACCATAGGCTAAAATGTTCAGCACCCAGCAGCCCCAAAATCTGGCCCCAGTTGTGGGCCCTGAGCACTTTTGAAAGAGTGGGTCATAATGGCCCACTACTCAGGGTCTGATTCTGTTACACATTAAAGTCAAAGACAAGGCTCCCTCAGTGGTGCAGGATCAGAACCAAAATGGCAGTAGGCCTTGTTGCCTTTTTTAGGGTCCACAATAATGCAAATACAGTGGGGAAATACATGTCAGCATTGTCTCTTTTTCAAAGCTGGCTATTGTATTGTATTTTAGATTGACCTTAACATTTTCTAGGTGAAGGGCACAAGTTATGCTGCATGTTATGGACTATAGTGCTATAAAGTATCCCAGAAATATCAGGAAAAAAGTTTGATGCAAAAGTAAGTTCATTTAGGCTTTTTACTTCAAAAGTTATTTATTTGTATATTTCACTAAATATTTAATTTATATCTGTACATATTTATGATGCAAATTAGGCCTCTAGTCAACATGTGTGATGCTGAAACAGTTGTCGTTAATAAGTGGTCCTATATCAATAACACTGAACAGCCAATAGCCTAACTAATTTGAGTCTGTTTTCCCCCAGATTGTCTCTGTAACTTTTTTCCCCACAGTGAGGAGTGACTTGTAGGGAGGGTGGGGTTAAATTTTTATCTCATGTCTGAGATGAGTGTGGAAATTCCTCTAAGCAAACAGAAATTGCAGGCTGCTTCTAAGATGCACGACTCCATGTAATGATTCTTCCATTCTGCCACATACACCTTTAAGAATGGGACCCCAAATGCCTGTTCTAAATGATATATTATGTAACTAAATGTGCAAGTACATTGCTAATATTTTGCAATTAGCATACTAGCTAAGACTATTCTATATAATGGCCAAGGTATTATAATATAGAATATACTAAACTCCGGAAATAGCCTCTTTCCAGAACATATTCAGTGCTGTGAAATACTCATTTTTTTGCGCGTTACTCTTACTGTACAAATTTTAATAAAAAGCAACAAAGTTTGTATTTTCGTAGTTTTGAAATTTCAAAATTACCAGGCAAACTCAGCAATAGGACAGTATGACATTTTAAAGAGAAAACTCTTCTATTTTAAATCATCGCATTTCTATGTCTTCTGAGATAATGTTACACATGTGCTTCCTAAACAAACTCCTATTACTGTATCAGGTGCTTTTTTAAATATCAGATCATAATTTTGGGAAGACCAAAGGTGTTTTTTATAGGATGATTTTGGTGTTTTGATTTTTCTAACAGAGAATACTTAATTTAGTTTCAGTTTTTCATTTTTAGACACGTTCAAATTAATTGGGTCTGGTTGTATGTTGTAAGATAATGTTCTCATATTAAGAATGTAATTATTTCCTTATTGTATTTTTAAAAAAAACAAAATCATATTTAAAAATCTCTGTGGGGAAAAAAGCATGCAAGAAACATGAAAAAAGCTTTTGTTTTATTTTTGTTATTGGATATGTTGGCAGTGCCCATTATAATTGTAAATATATTCTTTCTACTGTATTTCTCAATGTATTTAATTTTTAGAGACACATCCATGGGAAATCATGTTGAAAAAATCCAAAATGGACCCACCTGCAAGTGTGTGTCTTTAGCTTCATTTAATTTCTGTCTTTCTAGTTTGTTCTCCAGGAAGTCTTAGAGTGTGAAAAAGGACTGGCGCCTACTAGGTGTGACAGATTTATGTGCATTATTAATAAAAATTACCCTGTCAAAACAAGAAGTGTTTATATCACAGTTTCTTTGTAATTGTTAACATAATTAATGCATAATACCTCAGCAGCTCACTAGAAATACTCTGACACCATGGAGAGGAGCATGGTATTAATACCTAAATAGATCAGATAGAAGAAAATCAAAATGTACCTGGCATGACTCATCTAAATGGGTTCTAAAGAGGCACAAGTTATTACAATTGTTCCAGATACTTGCAACTTTTATTTTTTGAACTGCACTGTGATCCCTTTAGCTTCCCAAAAGCCAATTGTAAAGCTGGAGCTCTAAGGCTAAGTAATGCCACACAAGTGAAACAAAGTTCAGGACATTTAGCGTTTGTGGCAGGAGAAAACTGCAGCTGAGCAAAACCTAAAATCCTTTAAAAATTTGGCTCTTAGGAACTCAAATCCCATTGAAATATAGTGGAATTTGGGCATCTTATTCCCTTATAAACTGGGATTATCAAAGGAATCTTAAGTGCCGATATGCATATTTCAGTGCTTAGGAATTTGAAACAGGCTGACAATGTCGCCTCACTGGCAATAGTATCGGGACAAAATATACTTTCTTTTATTAAGTCAGCTTCTCCATCAAATGCAACTGTTACCTATTTTAAAAATAGCTAAAGCAGTTTTCTTCTTAGCAGCTACAAAAGCATTTTCCCTTTAAAATAGCCTCATACTGTCGTCCATCAGCATTCTGTCACTTTTTAAAAACTCTGCATCTGTCACTACATGAAAACAATGAACCATTTTAAGGTCTTTCCTATATTAGAGTATATTAGATAATCGGATTAATTTACTTGCATCAAGGAAATAAGTTTTTCCAATTACTTTTTGCTTCATCCCTTATAGTTATCGCTACATGTTCCTGACAAGATTTTAAAAGGGAAAAAGCTGCTGTTCCTTGGTTCATCATTCATTTTTAAATGGGTTGGTAATTGCTGCCAATGCATTATTTCTTGGGGGTTTTGCCTTTATTAACCTTTTTTTTTTTTTTAGTCCAAACTGTTCCTCCTGGTACTTTATCTCAGGCCAGCTTGCATGTGATGTGGTAAGGGTGAGAATGTCTTTTAAACAGAAATTTAAAATGTAGTGAGCAGCTTGTTTCTCACACACACACACACACCCTGCCCTCTTTGCCTTTTTAAAAAAACCACTAGGGTCAGAGTAAACACATTCATCAGAGTAGTGAGTTTCATAAGAAAATGATGCAGATTTCCAGATGTAATTTAAAAAAAAAAAGAAGAAGCTTACTGGAAAATGGGGGGAAACATTTATATATCTATGACCCAGAAATTGCATGACAGGAATTTAATCAAGTTTATGATGGGATTGAAAAATGGCTACTCTTGGAGATTTGCAAAGTAATTTGTTGGTTATTGTTTTTAAAGCAGACAGCAAATAAAACACCAGGGTAGTGTGTGAGCATTATTTTACTTCCTGTTCTTGGAAATGAGGGGCTTGAGAAACCCAGCCCTTTGCATTGAAGTTTAGCATGTTGCATTGGGATGTCATATAACAGGGGTGGCCAAATTTACTGACCCTCTGAGTTTGAGAGCCGGGACTCAGGGCTTCAGCCCGAGCGGGAGGAGAGTCTCCAAGCTTCAGTCCCATGAGGCGTGCCTGCCCAGACTCAGGACTTCAGCCCCACAGGGAGTGGGAGTTCAGAGCTTCAGCCCTGCGGGAGGCACCTGCCCAGGCTCGAGGCTTCGGTTGAAGCCCTAAGACACCCGTCCCCACGGGCAGAAGCCAGAGGTAACACATGGGGTGGCATGTGATTTTTGCCAGGGATTGCTGGCCCTGTTTGGTCACATGGTTCCACTGGGCCCCTCCCTGCATGGCAGTTGCTGGAGCCGGCAAGCTGAGAGCTGCGCCTTGGGCAGAGGCAGCAGCAAACACCTGGGAGCTGCAGGGACAGCCGCTGCCTCGCCCCATGGAGCTAAAGCAGTGGCCTCTCCCAGCTGTTTGCCAGGCGGAGCTAACACCTCGGAGCTACAGGGAGGGGCTGTTGATGATAAGAGGGGGAGCATGATTCAAGATGGTGGGGAGGCCCGAACCTTTAAATTGTGTCCCCCTCCCCACTCTCAGCAGGGACCAATCTTCTCTGGCAGAAGCCCCTAGCCCCACCATCCCGCTGCAGGCAGAAGCCCCAAGTCTGCCCCCCGCCCCCAATAGGCAGAGAATGGGGGGGTGGAGGGGGCATGGAGGACTCTGCGAGCTGCAGTTTGGCCACCCTTGTACTATAACGTTTCATTGCTCCATGGACAGCAATAGAAGACACACCACTGGGAGAAAGGGGAGAAGGAGGTTCAATACGTTTTATTTCTACTTATACATTCCCTCATTAACCATTTTTAATGCTTAGCCTCCTGCACAGCTAGAGAACTGCTCTTGGGACGTAAAACACAGTAACCTGAGATTAGAAGAGACTCCTTTTTTTTAATGAGGGGCTCTGCTATTGCTATGGAAGTACTTTTTATTTTACCTCTAAATCCCAGCTGCCCATCGGAGGAAAACTTGCTCGCTCTCTCTGTGCATGGTCAGCATGATGTTTTCATTGATGCCTGAATCCAGCCTTTCTTATAGCAAGCACATGAGGTGTCATTGCATGGGCTGACAAATCTTGGCCAATAGATGTCTTAAAACCGACCTGTCTTTCTGTAATTACTGTTGCAAGACTGCCATGTATGGCTTTAAAGAAAAGTTCTCGGCACATATTTATGAAGCTTTTTCTTCCAGTTGTCCAACTTTTGTACACAACTCTTCCATAAAGAAACAAACAACACGGGCTCCCATGAAAACCTTGTTTTAGGTCAGAAACGACTGTGGTTTATCAGCTGGACTGACTCCACTATTGGTTTAGCTGCTGCTCACCTGTTACGGTGGGGCAAACAAAGTGGAAGGCTGGCTGCAGCGTGCGAGACTAGTAGGCACTCTACAGCCAGTTTTTCCCATCCACATTGGTCACCAACAGCCCTATTTTTTGAGGTTTAAAAAAGAAAAACTACGTCAGGTCAGGTGCCAGTGAACTGACCTTTCTTACCCTGCTCTTGCAGCATTCAGGACTTTGACTGAGCTGCCTGTCATTTTCCTGTGTGAGTTCATTTGAGAGCATAGTGATTGGTGTCACCCACATAGTTATTAGTGGGGCATTTAGTGCACTGGCTGAGCTACATCACATGATGTGAGCAGCATGAGTAGGGCCCATAGATCTTGAAAGGAGTGTTGTAGCCATGGAGATGGTTTTGCCTCTGTTGTATCAGCAGCGTCTGGCGCTGCTTTGCATTGGTGTGTCCTGGTCTGTGGGGAGCTTGCTTATGATGAGTTTGGGTTGTTTGAAGGCTCGAACTGGGGGTTCAGGAAAGATTTCTTTCAGGATGCGGGTGGCATCAAGTATGGGGTGTAGTTGTTTGATTCCCCCCCCGCCACCCCAAATATGAGTAGTAGGTGACAACTAGGAGTGTGCAGTCAGAGGGGTTTTATTTCTGTGTTGCAGCAGAGTCTCCCAGGGTATTTGGGTGGCCCATTCCATTATGGAATCTACTGCTCTGGTGAAGTGGCCTTGTTTGGTGAAGGCAGTTTGAATAGCCTTGACTTTTGCCTCAGTGCCTATTCTGTGGTATCTGAGTGCCTGACTGTATATAACAGATTTTTTTTTGGTGGGTTGGGGTGATTGAAGGTGTATGGGTTTCTTGTATATGATTGTCTGTAGGGTTCCATTGTTGGCGTGTTCTGGAGAGAGTTTGATGGATGGGTGGCGGTTGTTAAAGTGGTGGTAATCTGAGGGCGTTTAAGCCATCTGGCCAGAGACTGAATGTATCATGGATGTAACTCAGGTATATCATTGGTTTTGTGGTATATTTGTCCAGAAGTACAGCTTCATGAAGAAGCTGGGAAGCCAGGCTCATACTCATGGCTGGTCCCATGCTTTGGACAAAGTGTTTGTTGTTGACTGTAAAATTGTTGAGGATGAAATCCATCAGTTTGGCAATGTGTTTGGGGTGAATAGCTGACGGTTGTCCATTGTCTTGAATTGAGGCAGGCAGCTATCTCATCATTGTGGGGGATGTTGGTGTATAGGGAAGGGACAAGGGCATATAGGCAAGGATGGTGTTCTGAGAGAGGTTGTAAATGGAGGAAGTCAATTGTGTCCTAGACAAAGCGAGCCCTTTGGTTTGAGGATGGTTTTTATCAGTCCCGATATGCATTCAGTAAGAGTGCCATGGCCAGATATCACATGTCTGCCTGGGTTCCCTTCTTTCTTTATCTTGGGAAGCATGTAGACTGTTCCTGGGGTGGGTTTGTGGGGGGGGATGAGTTTCTGGACTTTCTTTTGGAGGGGTTGAGGGAAGGCTTTTATGATATCCTTAAATTCCTGGGTAAAATGTGGTGAGACTGGGGGTCTTCGCTGAGTTCCTTATAATAGGTGGTGTCAGAGTTGTCAGTCGGCTTCCTGAACACAGTCATCCCAGTTGAGGACCACAAGGGTGCCCCCTTTGCTGGTTTAGACTCACAAATCCTACACAATCACAATATGTGATGTACCTCATCCAGTACACTAAATGCCCCGCTGACAACTATGTGGATAAAACGAGACAATCATTACACTCTCTACTGAATTTACATAGGAAAATGAAAAGGAGTACTTGTGGCACCTCAGAGACTAACCAATTTATTTGAGCATGAGCTTTCGTGAGCTATAGCTCACTTCATCGGATGCTGTTGCTCACGAAAGCTTACGCTCAAATAAATTGGTTAGTCTCTGAGGTGCCACAAGTACTCCTGTTCTTTTTGTGAATACAGACTAACACGGCTGCTACTCTGAAACTTGACATAGGAAAATGATAAAACATCAATCACCTGTGGGTGAACACTTTTCATGAAGTGATCTCTCTATCTATCAGTCCTCATCCTCAAAGGTAACCTGCAGAACACTTTCATAAGAGGAGCTTGGGAACTCAAATCCATAACTCTGCTAGACACTAAAATCATGTGTTGACCACAG